CCCTCCCTCCCTCCCTCCCCTCCCCTTTCCCCTCTCTCCCCTTCCCTCTCTCCCCCTTCCCCTCCTCTCTCCCCCTTTCCTCTCTCTCCCCCTTTTCCCTCCTCTCTCCCCCTTCCCCTCTCTCTCCCCCTTCCCCTCTCTCTACCCCTTCTCTTTCTCTCTATCCCCTACCTCTCTCTCTCTACCCCCTTCCTCTCTCTCTCTACCCCTTCTCTCTCTCTCTCTCTCCCCCTTCCCCTCTCCCCTCTCTCCCCCCCCTCTCTCCCCTTCCCCTCTCTACCCCCTTCCCTCTCTCTCTCTCCCCTTCCCTCTCTCTCCCCTTCCCCTCTCTCTCCCCTTCCCCTCTCTCTACCCCTTCCCTTCTCTTTCTCTCTATCCCCTTCCTCTCTCTACCCCCTTCCCTCTCTCTCCCCTTCCCTCTCTCTCCCCTTCCCCTCTCTCCCCTTCCCTCTCTCTCCCCCTTCCCCTCTCTCTACCCATTCCTCTCTCTCTCTCTCCCCCTTCCCCTCTCTCTCTACCCCTTCCTTTCTCTTTCTCTCCTATCCTTCCTCTCTCTCTACCCCCTTCCTCTCTCTCTCTACCCCTTCCCTCTCTCTCTCTACCCCTTCCTCTCTCTCTCTCCCCTTCCCCTCTCTCTCCCCTTCCCCTCTCTCTACCTCCTTCCTCTCTCTCTCTACCCCTTCCTCTCTCTCTCTACCCCCTTCCCTCTCTCTCTCTCTCTCCTCCCCTTCTCTCTCTCTCTCTCTCTCTCCCCCTCCCCTTCCCTCTCTCTCCCCTTCCCCTCTCTCTCTCCCCTTCCCCTCTCTCCCCTTCCCTCTCTCCCCTTCCCCTCTCTCTACCCCCTTCCCCTCTCTCTCTACCCCTTCCTCTCTCTCTCTACCCCCTTCCTCTCTCTCTCCCCTTCCTCTCTCTCTCTCCTACCCCTTCCTCTCTCTCTACCCCTCCTCTCTCTCCCCCCTTCCTCTCTCTCTCTACCCCCTTCTTCTCTCTCCTCCTCTACCCCTCTCTCTCTCTCTACCCCTTCCTCTCTCTCTCTCTACCCCCTTCCTCTCTCTCTCTACCCCTTCCTCTCTCTCTCTACCCCCTTCCTCTCTCTCTCTACCCCCTTCCTCTCTCTCCCCCCTTCCTCTCTCTCTACCTTCTTCCTCTCTCTCTCTCTCTCTCTCTCTCCACCCCCCTCTCTCCACCCCCTCTCTCTCTCCCACCCCCCTCTCTCTCTCCACCCCCTCTCTCTCTCCCACCCCCTCTCTCTCTCCACCCCCTCTCTCTCTCCACCCCCCTCTCTCTCTCCACCCCCTCTCTCTCTCCACCCCTCTCTCTCTCTCTCTCTCTCTCCCTCTCTCTCTCTCTCTCTCTCCACCCCCCCTCTCTCTCTCCACCTCTCTCTCTCCCCCTCTCTCTCTCTCTCTCTCTCTCTCTCTCTCTCTCTCTCTCTCTCTCTCTCTCTCCACCCCCTCTCTCTCTCCACCCCCCTCCTCCTCCCCCACCCCCCTCTCTCCCCCACCCCTTGGTCTCCCCCCCTCTCTTTTTCTAATTTACTGAAAGCATTCTGGTTAGGTTTATATGTATAACATTGCAGTATTGCATTCAGACTTGCTTACTTAATGTCCACCCATTAGAGGTGGCCAAGGGAAGAGGTAAGTGGTTTGTGTGGTATCCCTCCATTGTGCTTGATCATTTTGATGAGGGCTGTTTTTAAACCTTGTGTGTGTAAGTTGTCACTTTTTTTTAAAGTGGCTAAAAACTGTAATTTTAATTTTGTTTAGTATTAAAAGTATTTTTAATTCATACATTTTTTATAAGATATTACTACAGTATTATAGTACAGTCATCCCTTGGTTATAGCACACTTGATTTATCGCGATTTTTGTTATCACGCCTCCATCAAAATCTACACACCTGCTGTTATAGCGCATTTTTCAAGCCGAGAATTTCATTATCACGCAGTTGCCTCCAGGTGTATTGTTACCCTGCTTCACCTACATCTGTGAGGATAAAATCTTTCACCTGCAAATTGACAATAACACATTTGCTGTAATCAGACTATATCTAAGTTGCCCCAAAATTGCAACAGTAGCAATTTCAAATTCTGTGTCATAACTAAGGAATAACGAAGTCTCGGGTGCACTCTAAGATTGAGAAAAGCAGTGGACTCAGGCGTCCGAGCGATGAGAAAAGGACTCCTCAGGCGAGAAAATGCTTAAATAATACAGCGGGTATGCTGCTCGAATCTAGTGGTTCTAGAACCTCGTTACATTTATAGCATTAGGTTAGGTTATAAGATTAATCCGTTCCAGGCCCCCAAATACAACTACTTAACACTGAAAATTTTCTGTGGAAAATGTAAAAAAATCTGGTACTTTATCTTACCTTAGTGTTGTTCAGCATGCAGGACAGGGAGGGAGGAGAAATTATGAGAGAGGTGGAAGAGGAAGAGTCATCCTCTAGCCCTCTTTGGTGACTCTTACAGGCACTTTGTCTGTAGGTCTTTTTGCTACTTTTTAAAGAAGGAATCCAGGGTTAGCTGCTTCAACCTTGATTTCTGGACCTTCAAAAGTAGTTCATCACATTGTCATTAAACACACTGATGCTTTTTCACAGCACCAACATCAGGATGATAATCCTCCATAGCTTAGACAGTTTGCCTCAGCAAGAACACATCCTTGAGATCTTTGGCTGGAATGAGTCTCTGACTTTCCTCCTTGTCCTCATCCTCCTGACTCCTCAGAAGTTAAGCTCGCTTCAGTGTCTCATTTTCCTCCTTGTGAAGCTCAAGCAGCTCCTCAGTAGACGCCTCCTTACTGTGCTCTTCCACCAACTCCTCAACATCACATCATCATCATCCAATTCCAGGCCCATGGAAGTGCCCAGAACACAATTTCATGTGCAACAGCCTCTTCCTCCTAACTCTTGAAGCCTTCAAAAGTCTCTTTGAAACACACATTCAGGCCACAATGGCCTCCAAAGCAGCACAAAAGACACCTCATAGAAACCTCTTTCCAGGCTGACACAATTAGAAACACAGCGTCTGCTATATGAAGTGACTCTTCCAAAATTCCTTCAAACTAACATCACTGGAAGAAGTGGGCCTTAAAACATTTTCTAAACAGTGCCTTTGTGTGCAGCTTCTTGAAGTTAGAAAGTACCTGTTGATCCTGGGCCTGGATGAGAGGTGTTGTGTTGGGTGAGAAGTGCACAGTGATGAAGTTGAACTCCTCTGGCAATTCAACCATCAAATTAGGTGGTCTGGTGCATTGTCCATCACCAACAAAGCTTTCAGTGGAAGATTATTCTCCCTGAGGTATTCCCAAACACTGGGTAACACCTCAATCACCCACTCAGAGAATAAATTCCTGGTCACCCAAGCCTTTGGGTTTGGCATCCACATAACACCAAGGCGGGTCTTCCTAATGTTTTTGAAAGCTCTGGGGTTTGTGCATGGTACACAGGGTGGCTTTATTTTGCAGTCACCAAGCATTAGCACAAAGAAGGAGGATAGCCTGTCTTTCATTTGGCTTATGGCCAGGGACAGAAGTTTCCTCCTTACTTAATGTATGTATATGCAATGAGGCATTTTTTTTTCCAAAGTCCAGTTTCATCACAGTTGAATAACTGCTGGCTCAAAGCCTCCTCTTTAATCACATTAAAAATGTCATGGTGTTCCTTAGCTGCTTCCTTATCTGCACTAGCAGCATCACCATGTCTCACAACACTCAGTGTAATTTATTTCTTCTTCTGAAACCAGTAAACCACCCCTTGGTACCCTAAACACTGGCACATCACTATCACGCACTTGGGAGTCTTGGCTTTAAGGTCCTCAAACAATTGTCTGGCCTTCTCACAAATTATAGCTTCACTAATGCTATCACCTGCCATTTCTTTCTCCTTTATCCACACTAAGAGTAAATTTTCCGTCTCTCCTCAATCACATTACACCTTGCTTTGCTAAGTCTAGAAATTCCCTTAGCCACTTGCACAGTTTTCAACTCCTCTTTATTCTTCAAAATGTTACATATAGTCGATTTAGCCATCCCATATTCATCACTAAGTTTACTTAATGTTTGTTCCATCCTCCGTTTCTTTATGATTTCTTTCTTAGTTTCAAGGGTTATTAGCTTTCTCACTCACTTTGGACGACTCATTGTTACAATTGTATACTTATAACATATATATGCTGGTTATCAGCATATACCTGAATCACGTGCACCTACAGTGATTTACTTGCATATATATATATATTTCTATAAAAAAAAATATATATATATATATATATATATATATATATATATATATATATATATATATATATATATATATATATATTTCATGTAAATCACAATGGAAACATGGATAAGATAAATCTTGATAGAATCCCACGGGAAAAGGGAAACAGCGAAGTACCTTAGCTTTCGTCTTTATTCAAGACATCTTCAGAGGCAACTGGATTACATGGACAGAGGCTTAAATATACAGGGTGACCTTAAAACATGAGGTCAGGTCATAATGATGTCATCCACTAATCCCCACACCAACACACATGTTGAGGTTTAAGAAGGGGGTGGCGTGACTAGTCAGGTCAGGTCAAATAAGGACCCACAAAATAACTATCATACATCTAGATCAAAGGTTTCAAAACATTTTAACCTTGGGCCACTGACAAATAAATTTATGTATATTATCAGTTTTGAACTGACCTTAGTGATGGTCAGTTCAAAACTGATAATATATATATATATATATATATATATATATATATATATATATATATATATATATATATATATATATATATATATATATATATATATATATATATATATATATATACTTACTTACTTTGAGGTGTGTATTTGAGTTGTTAAAATTGTACCTTCTGTACCTGCTAGAAAGATGGTGGTTTGCAGAATATAATGTTGTACGTACTGTGGTGGAATGAGTTATCGCATTGTTTATATTCTTCCTTTGGTTTTGATTTTTGTCTTTTCTCTTTTTCCTTACAGGCCAAGATTGCCTTCCTCAATGGGGAAAGGAAAGGACAAGAAAACCAAAGAATGACCTTGTCAGAAGAATAAAAATGTTGGAATATGCATTAAAACAAGAAAGGTGATATTTTTAAGTACAACTTTGAATGATACATTACTATAACATGTGTCATTTTTTCTTGATGGGAAGAAGAGAAGCATGTGTAGTCCACCAGATGTTAGATTTAGTTTATACTACTGTACTTTTTCTAATGTAAGGTGCCTTCCCATTTTTTATATAATATCTCCCTGGTTATATTTTATCTTCATTCATTATTCCAATTCTTGTGTTACCTGAAATATTTGGAAAGGTAAAAATTACAGGATAATTAACCTTTCCCTCACATTCTCCAACAAGTTTGATAGTGAGTGCTTGAGGAGCTTTATGGCAGTAGTTGTGGAATGTTAAGCTACGAGTCTTAACTGTTGAATTGGTTAAACAGTCATAAATATTAATTTGCTCTAACATTCATAAAGTTTAACTTGGTCTAAGTCATTAATGGTTTACCAGTCTAAAATGTTAACTTTGTCTAACAGTCGTATATTTTAACTTGATCTACCAGTCTTAAATATTAACTTGGTGTAAGTGCCATATATGTTAACTTGGTCAACCAGTCTTTCATGTTAACTTGGTCTAAGTACCATAAATGTTAACTTCGTCTAACAGTCATGGGTTTTAACTTGATCTACCAATCTTAAATGTTAACATGGTCTAAGTGCCATATATGTTAACTTGGTCTACCAGTCTTCTGTGTTAATCTGGTCTAACTGTCATAAATATTAATTTGATCTAAAATGTTTTTTCTTGATAATGAATTGTTGTTAAAGTTGTAGCCAGGAAGGTTTCTTTGGTTTAGATAAGAAACTACTTTACTGGGTATCCTTCAATAAGTCTGGTGAACTATAATCCTGGTATAAACTTGTCAGTTTTATTACTTTCTATATTTAATTTTCCTTTACTCTTAGTGCACATATTACAGTACCTGTATTTGTATTTAGCTTGAAATATAGATAGATTTGCCAATAATTAATCTGTGATTGAAATCATTACAAGTATTTCTGAGTCCTGAAATGTTTTGTCCTTTCACAGAGCTAAATATCACAAGCTAAAATATGGGACAGACTTAGTACAAGGGGACATGAACCCGCCAGTTGAAGAGGGTGGTGAGGAAGTGCGGGTAGACACTGATGCTATACTGTCGACCAATACAAATGTATCGTGGAAGCAGTCAAGACATCTACTTAGGCAGTGAGTGATTACAGCAACTGTACATGTCAGCATAGTTGGTCATCTATATTTTTCAATCAATTGAAAAAACTGTTATGACATTTTTTAATGAAGGATCAAGTTGAAAATTTGGTTGTAATTTTTTATATTTTTTTTGCAGGTATCTACAAGAAATCGGGTACACAGATACAATCATAGACTTACGGAGTAATAGAGTAAGGTAAGTGTTGTTAATGTGGAAACATTATGAATTTGTCATTATATTTTCTAATTCTTGTTTGACACGAAAGTGTATATGAGTTTCTTAGATTGGAGGACATTGGTGGGAGGGCTGTTCTGTACAGTGTCCCATAAATCATGCACGTTAGGGTAAATACATTACTATAGTAAATATTCACCATCAACTTCAAAACACTAGTTGATTCCATGTGAACATGATGCCTTATCTCTCATTAGCATGTCATTAGTAATCTTGTTATAATTATATACAGTGGTCCCTCGATTAACGAACGTAATTAGTTCCACAGAGTCGGTTGTTAATCAAAAATTTTGTTAACTGAATCTATTATTCCAATAGGATATTGGGTAATTGGTTCCAACTCACAGAAAAAGTATACATACAAAGTACTGTATACCACTAATAGAATTAACAAAACATTAAATATAAACTAAATACAGCACTGTACTGTTCAGTAAACTGTACAATAATAAATAGAAAAAACACAATAGAATACTGTATTTTAACTTATTGGAGGTGTGTATGTCGTATTCCTGGCAGCTTTGTTTACATGTCAAACAGCTGATTGTAGAGGCAGTTGATGATGACATGCCATATTCTTTACAGAGTGCATTGGTTCTAATTCCGTCTTCGTGTTTCATAATAATTTCTGCACAGTATACTATTAATATGTTAGCTAAATTTCAGAATGACCAATAATTTTAATGTAAAAATGCAAAAATATTCAGGAGACCAACAAGAGAACGCGCATGCGTGCGTAGTGTCAACAAAGGCTGTAAGAGACTGCTCCTTAAAATTTGTATTTCTGACGAATTCAGCGAGTCTACCAATCCCAGCCTGTGCAGACAACTATAGTAAGACCCAGTTATCAACACAGTGGCATATATTTTTTTTTTTACTTTTGGACTTTGTCATTTTTTTGGGATAAAACATCTGGTCCTACCACCCGATCCCTCTGAGCAAAGTTTTTCAAGTTTGCGCAATGTGATAGTGTGACGTAGCAGTGACGTCATTACCACTCCACCTGACTGCAGTGTTGCCAACGTGCCCTATGCCCACCGTTAAACGCTCCCGTTCGTTGGAAACGGCTGCAGTAGGTGACAGTGATGCTGACGACTTTCTTCTTGAAGACACGTCAAAGAAGAAGCAGAAACCTCAGAAGTCAGGGTCTCCAGCAGGGGCCACGGCTCCCCCTTGCACCCCTTCTGGGGCTGTAGAGGGTGGACTCCTCCTGTCATCGGGGTCCCCAAGTGAGCTTACATGTGGCTCAATGACCGACCCTCCGCCGACGATGGACATAGAGGATTCCCTTTGTCTCCCTGCCCCGTCGCGCCTTCGTCGTCTCGCCTTTCCTCGGGACTTGCCTCTGAGCACACGGACGACCTGGTTCTTCCGTCACTGCTTCCCACTTCAGGACTCAACACTTCGCCTCCGCCGAGGTCCCACAGCCGTGATAGCCACCACACAAATGGACGAGATGGTACGCCTGCTCACTCAGGTGGGCTTTCCTGCTCCCCAGGGGGAGGTGATGCTGAAGTTCACCATCATCACCCCGGAAACTCGTCGCACCAAGGTAATGGTTCGCCACGTACCCTGGGAGATCCCTATCGACGATCTTCGCCCTCTTCTCCCACAACTACTGGACATGGAACGCCGCATCAACCCGGTCTCCAAACGTCCATCCAACGAACTCATCGGCTGGTGGGTGGGCCCCCTCCCTCCGAAGGTGAATGTAGGACCAATTCACAACTGTCCTCTCAACCGATTTATCGGAACCCCGAAAATCTGTGGTCGTTGCCAATCGTGGAAACACCGCACCTGGGAGTGCACGAGGATGGTCGCCTGCGGTTTCTGTGCAGGCACCTCACGAAACAGTGGAATGCAAATCGAAAATTCAGAACAAAATCCCAGTTATTCCACGGTGTGTCAATTGCCATGGCAGTCACCACGCCTGGAATGCCAATTGCCCACAGCGTCCTGGCACTCGCCTGGGGAAAACTTACCTTGTACCACCGCCCTCGTCTCTGACGAAGCCCCTGTCAACCAAACCTCACTCCTATCCACCACCGCCTCTTCCATCCACCAAGGATTTCCCATTGATCTCCTCTCCTCTACCATCCCCCTTATCACCCTTACCACCCATCCTTTCTCCCCTCCCTCCCTCTCCCTACCGCTCTTGGAACAAGGTCGTTGCCGGCCCTGCCACACAGTCACCACCACCTCCTGCCCACCCGGACCCCCGCTGCCTCTCACCAGCTCCTCTTACTCAACTGAACCCTCACCGTCCCTCTCCGTTGCTACCACCACCGCATGCCCAGTCGGGCCCTCGGCAATCCTCGCCGCCACCTCCAGCTCCTGTACAGGTACACCAAGTTGGTTCTATGGAAACAATCACTCTCCGTCTGGATCGCCACTCCAAGCAAATCAACCTTCTCTCTGCCCAACTCGACTTGTTTGTGAAAACAATTGCGACATTGCAGAGGCAACAACAACTCATTCTGGACACCCTGACCCAACAGGGGCGCACTTTGCAAGCCCTGATGACCTGCCTCCTTCCATCTCCCGAGATGGAGGATCCATCCCTCGCTCTCCCACTCCTCCCTCTCCATTTTTCTCAACAAAATTTGGTACCTCCTCTGGAGCCCTGTCTAGCCCCACCAACTCATCTCACACCGGAGGCCGTTCCTTCCTCTTCTTACAATGGAACTTCCAGGGACTTAGACCTCGCCGGACAGACCTCGCCCAGTTTGTGCTCTCCCATCAAGTAGATGTTGCTCTACTTCAGGAAACCATCACAGACGATGTTACTCCACTCCGCCTCTCTGGCTATACTGTTTACACCCTGCCTCGGTACCGTGGGCAGGCTCGTGGCCTCCTCACCCTTGTGCGTAACACCATTCTATCTGTTCGTCTCCCTTTACCTGACTCACATGGACCCCCGTCTGAATTACTTTGTCTCCCTTACTCTTGGTGACCGGACCCTTCGTGTAGTCAATGTTCATATGTTCATTTCAAGAGTGATTCTCTGGACCCCCAGGTTCTTGACGACCTCCATGATGGGATTCCCACTATTGTTCTTGGCGACTTTAATGCTCGCCATCCCACTCCATGTACCCTTAACGGATCACATCTCTCACAGTTTCTTAATGGGGATGATGATGTTCGCTTTCTTTGTCCTGACTATCCTACTCGCCTCCCCCATAGTTTCCTTGATGTTGGCTTACTATTGAACGGTCGTACCTCCTTTCATCCTACTGTCTGCACCGAGCCTGCTCTGTATAGTGACCATCTTGCCGTTACTACCCATCTCAGGCTCTCCTTCTCTGCCCCGACATCAGCTCCTTATCGATCCCCTCGCCTTCGTCTCACACAAGATGCTGTTCCTTCCTTTACCCAATACCTTTCTACCTGGGCGGATTCCTATGTTGTCCCCCAGTCCCTTGACTCTTACAGCGCTGAGTTTGTTGATGCCGTGTATGACTCTGTCAATCGCGCTACCCCTCCACGCCCTCCCCGTCACCCCAGAAGTGCCACCAACTACTGGTATCGTATCCCTGCCATGAGACATCTCCGGCAGGTAACCCGTGATCTCCACTCTGCCATACGGAGGTCTCGGTCTCCAGAGGACTGGGAAGACTTAAAAAATTGGTGCTCCTTTGCAACTCAGGAGCGCCGTCGGATACGTGAGGCGGACTGGCTATCCTTCACGGGGTCTCTATCATTCCAGCTGTCACCCTCTTATGTATGGAATCGGATTAATGCTATACGGGGTACTCGACGGAGGCCTCCTCCCCACCCTGACCCCGCCTCCCTTGCCTGCTCTTTAATGGAGGACTGGGCACGAGCTTCCTCCCCTGAGGCACTTCCAGATCCAATGCAGGAGGCAGTGCAGGCTCGCATCGATGCTTCTGAGTCTGTTGTTCGTGTTGCTCTTACCTCCCCTGCCCCCACTGATCATCCCATCACACAGCTCGAGTTTGACAGTGCTCGTCGCTCTAGAAAAGACACCTCTCCTGGGGATGATCAGATAACCTACTCCCTCCTCAACGCCTGTACTAATATTCCTAACGGCCCCTTGCTTGCTCTCTACAATATGTCTTATGAACATGGGGTTCTCCCGTCCAACTGGAAAAATGCCACTATTATCCCCATCCCTAAGCCGGGATATCCTGGGAAATATCGACCCATTAGTCTGACCTCCTGTGTTTGCAAGATGATGGAGAGTATACTCCATCGTCGCCTTCACACCATAGGCAGCTTCCACAACTCCCTCAATGGTTTCATTCAACATCGCAGCACAGCACGCTCCATTGCTTCCTTTTATTGCAATCAGACTGCCCTCATCTCTGTCTTCCTTGATATCAAGGGAGCCTGCCCTCATTTTAGCTGAACTTGCACGGTTAGGGGTTAAAGGGAGACTTCTACAATGGATCGCCTCTTACCTCACTGGACGTCAGGCCCGGGTTCGCGTTGAAGGCTCCATGTCTCCTGTTCAAGAAATGAACCTCGGCACCCCTCAAGGTGGAGTCCTGAGTCCCACCTTGTTTAACACTCTCATGCACTCCACTGCATCTCTCCCGTGGCCGACAGAAGTTGTCCACTCAGGATATGCCGACGATGTCCTCCTCCAAGCCCCTGACTACCTCAGCATGCAGGAAGCCCTTGATCTGGTCTCCAGAGAGTGTGATTCACTTGGTTTCCTTCTTTCAACTGCGAAAACAAAAGCCATGTGGCACAGTCGTGTTGTACCTCCACCCCTTCTCTTATCAGGAACGCCCTTGGACTGGGTTAATGAGACAAAATACCTGGGTGTGTATGTAACTCGCACACGTTGTCAGATCCCTGAAGTCCGCTATCTTCGAGACATATGCTTTCGGCGTATCGCTCCCCCCTCTACCATGTGCAGGGGTTCCCTTGGTGCCACCATCCCTGTACTTCTCACCATGTACAAGTCCTTTGTCCGTTCCTGTGTCGACTACACC